TATATTTGAGAAGTATGAAAAATTAGTTTTCATTTAACAACCGTAAGGTTGAGTAGTTAACACCTACTCTGTACAGTGACTCTTATATCCAAGCTGTCAGTTCCTGCAGGATTGGCAGCAGTGCAAGTGTATTGTCCAGCATCGCTCTGTTGAACGAAGGCAATCTGCAGGGATCCTGAGCTCAGCACCCGCTGGCGTATGGAGTTGATCAGCAGCTGCCCGTCTTTATGCCATGTGATGGAGGGTGGAGGGAAGCCTGCAGCCTGGCATTGAAGGGTCACAGAGGAGTCCAAAGGTGCAAGGTACTCCCTGGTGTCTGGATGAATCACTGGAGCCACTGCAGCACACCATGCAGAGAGTAGATATCATTTTTATGCACTTTTTTTTTGTTTTTAAACAGACTTGACTGAATATCTTGATTAGGCCAGTCTGTAACCCACCTTGTACTCTCAGTTTGGTCTTGCCCAATGCAGTGCCTGCAGAGTTTTGTGCCACACAAATAAAGGTTCCAGAGTCTGACAGAGATGCCTTGGAGATCTGGAGACTTCCATCAGGAAGAATAGTGTAACTTCCACCTAATGCAAAGCATGAGTTTGAGTGCCGTGTTCAAGTATTTATACCTTTTGAAACATATGTGAACACATTAAAACACAAACTATGTCTTTTGAAGGGATTTTATGTCCAATTGAAAGAGGATGCATTTTTTTTTACAAATGAAAATCTATCCTTTTATTTTCAGTGTACCCCAGTATCACAACATAAAATAAAACATCTAATTAAAAAGCAGAATTCAACACATTACATTGATAAATCTAAGAGTTCTGGATGGTTTGCAGGAGATCAATACTAAATAAACTAAATGAGGACTACTGTATGGGTGGTCATACACTGATTTTTCAGTCTTGCGAGAATGTTTTTAGATCAATATAAGTTTCAGCTTTATCCAGGATGTAACAAGGGGAGATTATCCTCTCCGGACCACCTCACAAATCAGGTCAGCTCAAAATCAAACATGTTTGAAATTTAGTCAGCCCCTGAGGTAATCGTGAGGATATCCTGCTGTTGAAGCAGGGCTATAAATGTCTACAAGCCGATTTACCTTAACTATGCACGCTGCGCATGTGCAAACAATTGTTCTTCTTCCCTTACTTTACTTCTGGATGGATGAGTCCCACCAGCATCACTCTACACTACAGAGGCAGACGTGTAGGTTTTGGACATAAACTGTAAGCTGTCTGATTGCATCGGAGCATGGGGCCGTACAGTGTAAGTACCAATATCATGAGCTGAGAACTTTCATAAGCTTCAGTTTCATAGTGCAGTTTGAGCTGTAAGTAAGTACAATGTGTAAAAATATTGCACAAGAAGTGAGAATTAGTTTTTTTTATTTCAAGGGCAACCTTCTCATTCTCTTGGCAGATCATCTTATTCACCTGGTTGAATTAAGGGTAAATACTCTTATTTTAAGACATTTTTTTTACCAATTTATAAATGATTTGTTGCGGTAAAGTTTTGCATCCCTTATGGAAAACATTTCATTACAAACCAGAAATGCAAAAATGTTTCACAAATGCACAAATGTTTTAGAGACCAACCAAAGAAAGAAGTGACCAAAGGGGACTATGGGAAGCTGCAGAAACCCTCAGCTCAGAAGGAGGAAATTGCTGATTGACCAATTATTAGTTGTACAATCAAATAATCATGAAATATTTTCAACAAGAACTACAGAAAAAGAGAAAGAAAGGAAAGCATGCATATGGGAAGCCAACGAAACGTGGACATTTTGCACTTTTTGTTAGATCAGACAAAAATATATTTCCTCTATCTACATAAACTACAGCCGCTGTTATTTTCTCTACCAAGTTTGTGAGTTTTGTTGTTTGTCTTAAACAGATTAATGCTTTAAAAACACACTGTGACTTTCCTTTTTAAGCATGAATCAGTCTAAAGAAGAAATAAAGCCACGCGTCTCCATGAGCACTCCATCCCCAAGGTGAAACCTGAAGGGACTCTAACAGAATCATGCTGTTCTGAATATTCTTTTTCAGTAGAACAGAAAAAAAGATCAGAGACAAGCTGGAAAAAGGGTCTGGAGGTATCAGTACAGTTGACGGAGTGTTTACCAGAGGTGGGAATGTTGATGCCCTCCTTTTGCCAGGTAATGGTGGGTCTGGGTGAGCCTGTGGCTTTGCAGGGCAAAGTAACGGGGGTGTTGTATATCACATCCAGTGTGGAGGGATTGAATTGGATCACTGGGAGTTCTAAGGAGATGAACATATCGTAAGAACAATGATAGTGCTGCTCATCAGCTATAATACCTTAAAGTAAAAAACTAATTTTGATTTTAAAGTTGCTATAATGGTTGTAATTATTATCGTTTTGTTTCCAGCTTCAGAATACTAGCTTTAAAGTAAAACACATATACAAAAATTCAGAGATGTTTACACACTTTAAAAAATAAGATAATTGTCAAATATTTGCTAATTGCTTATTAACCAGATTTCAAGTAAGAGTCTTATCATACTTGGAAATGTAGCAAACAAATGCATCATGTTACATTTCTTGCTAAGAAATATATATATGCTCTATTTTGATGTCTTTAAAATAATCTTGAAAGAATTTATTAAGTTATAGCTTGTTATGGTCAGTATATTTACCCTGTACAGTAAGCTGCACATGTCGTTGAGTGGAGCCTGCAATATTTTTAGCCGTGCAGGTGTAGCGTCCAGCATGACTGAGCTGAGCAGAGGGGATTTCTACATGACCTGAGTAAAGATAAACGTACAGAAATTGCAGAGAAATCAACATAAAAAACATATTTATGCTTTAAAATGACATTATTTAGAGGAATGTCATTTAAGAAAGACTCAAATTGATAATAATGTTTTCATAAATAAAGATTTGACCTGTTGGCAAAATGCTGTATCCTTCCCCCTTATCCAGTAGCTTCATGCCGTCTTTGGTCCAGTGGATTGCAGGTTCTGGCACTCCGGTTGCAGTACAGGCGATGACCACTGGGGACAGTCTGGTAGCAACTAGATCTGTAGGTTCATCTGCTATAGATGGTGGAACTAGAGCAACAGATACAGTAAAAAATATTATATTTTGGAGAGAAAATACCTTTAATGTCTTTTGATTCATTGCAAAACAAAGTCAGTCTAACTAATGACAAGATTCATGATCTGTAAATAACCGTTTTTCTCACCATTAACAGAAAGAGTAATGGATCGGGATTCCTCTCCTGCTTCATTAAAGGCCACACATTTATACTCTGCACTGTCCTCTACTGTTGGAGCCATAATCACCAAGGAGCCGGATGAGAGTAATCTGAAAAAAATCAACAGAGATAAACGATTTTAAGAAAATAAGTTTTACTTGTTTTTTGTATGTTGCACGTTTCAGTGCCAAGACGATTTAAAGGGCTGTACATGAGAAAAAGAAAAGCACACTGCATAGAAGAAACACATATAGTTATAGAGACTAAAATGAGCCAATTAAAATAAGTGGATTATGTATTTAAAAAAGATAAAATGATGATTAATTCAAAATAACAAAAGACAAACTGACTTAGAAAATGGAACATAATATATACAGGAAACCTAACTATTAATGTTTAGATGGCACAGTCAAAGGCCAGTCTAAAAAAAAGTGTGTTTTAATATGAATTTAGAGCAACTGAGGACTTTGGTGCTTTTACAGTTTTCTGGGATTTATAAAACATTTCTGGTAGAGTGGGGTTTAAAGGCTACAGTCAGATGAGGGTTTATTAGCCTGCTGACTGGGGCAGATGAGTTCATGTTAATGTGTTTGCTGATGATCTCAGAGAAGAGAGATTCTCTGTAATTTATAGC